CAACTTAACTGGCTTTAAAAAAAAGGTAAAGCAAACTATATTATGATGTTATCAACTTAACTGGCTTTAAAAAAGGTAAAGCAAACTATATTATGATGTTATCAACTTAACTGGCTTTAAAAAAAGGTAAAGCAAACTACATTATGATGTTATCAACTTAACTGGCTTTACAAAAAGGTAAAGCAAACTACATTATGATGTTATCAACTTAACTGGCTTTACAAAAAGATAAAGCAAACTACATTATGATTAATTGTCATCCTCTAATTATGGTCTTGTACTTCTAGATGGATGGTCATTTGTCTCATTTCCCCATAAAGCAAATTGGATGTGGATGTGGTTCCAGTAAGGAACATAATTACACGGGTATTTGATAAATGCTCTATTAAAGAATAAAAGTGCAAAAGAAATGTTTTTTCATGCCTAAGTATAAATGTTAACTACATCATTTATGAATACATTTTAATCAATAGTATCTAACAATAGCATATTCACAATAGTATCTAACGATATATATGGGGTTTTTGTGTCCTTTTCAACTCGTCATATAATAATCTCAGTTAATTTATGGGAGTGAATAATATTTTGGTATTATACATAATTTATTATTCGGTATTATATAGTGGGCTAACTGTTTAATGAATATATTACATCTTTCTTTTCACCAAAGGTGCGGCACATCAATGAATGCATTAGGTCTTTGTCATAGATTGTGTTTTTGACTTTAACTTTGATGAAAAGAAATCTGTAATTTAATCAGCATATAACAACGATTGACACCAGTAGCATGTAGTCACAAAGAGAGCAACTTTTATGATGAAAGACACAGACTAATTAGTTAATTTGTATGTGGGAAAACTCCAGATGGACAGCATACCAGCCTTTCTCTCAAGAAGATCAAATCCTGGTTACTACCACCACAAAATGCATTTATTCTTGAGACTTCCTTGAAGACAGCAACAGAGTAACAGCTGAAATGCAAGATGTAAAGTAGTAATTAGACAGAATGAGTAACTAACTGTGGTTATCACATAGACTACTAACCTTGATAACAACATTTTATAGATTGTTTTTCTCTATTATGTAATCTCTACAGAATTAATTAATTTTTCAATCTTCTCAGATTGGACTTTATAATAATGATGACGAATTCCCCTGAACATTGTATACAACTTCTTGTACTGTCTATAGGGACCCTATACATGAGAGACTAAGATATGCAGATGAAGTACTGCCAGAGATTCTTGACTCTGCTGACCACCCTTTCACTGTAAGTTTGTATGAGTAAATTGTATGATATGTTGCCACATAAAGTGTGGAATATGTGAGTAGTCTAAACGTTTCTTTTACCATTCTTATTACTGTTGGTTGTATTTATATATTACACTCTCTTGAAATGCATCAGGTTGTTTTATCTCTACAACTATGACACTCAAAGTTTACTCAGTAATTGTTTCATGTGAAATATCATGGATTGTGTGTCTGTTGACATCAAGAACATTGTTTACTGAACATAATGTTGATGTGCATGAACAGAACTTCCACACACTATTTTTATCCAGAACATCATACTACTGTTCATGTAGATCAATATAATACTCAATAAAATACAAAAAAGGATAAAAATAATGTGTGGAAAAGAACATCATAGTTTTTTGTATTTTATTGAGTATTATATTGATCTACATGAACAGAATTTCCACACATTATTTTTCTAAGGGTCGTCAGTGGTGGATGAAATCTGATGAACCCTGGCAAACTCTTTCATGTTGTATGGAGTTGGCGCAAGCTCTTCGTTCTCCTGATCCAAGCAAGTATGTTTGTCACCTCCCAATCCATCAGGATGGATCCTGCAATGGATTGCAGCACTATGCTGCCCTTGGACGTGACCAACAGGGGGCAGAACAAGTTAATCTACAGCCATGTAATGTACCTCAGGATGTTTATAGTGGTGTTGCTGCTCTGGTATGTAAAATAACACTCCTAGTTATATTAAGTTACATACATTATTTACTTTGTATCTGTATGGATAACTTACTTTTTTTCTCCATTACTGGTCTATGGACTGGTGCCGGTTCGTGGGATTTCATGAAGACAAACAAATAAAAACTGAAAGAATAGTTATATGTGTATCATAATGATTTTCTGTTGTACTTACATTTTAGTGTTCTGGAACAGTTTAGGGAAGCAGTGAGCTTGTCTCTGGTATCAAGGAGGTTGAGAAGCCGTGGATTAGAGGTTATTTAGAATTTAATAGCAAATAAAACTACAAGGACTACATATCTATATTTCTCAACAATGACACCACTAGGTAAAATAAAAAACATATTACAAAATAACTGTGTGAGAGGGAACAATGACACCACTAGGTAAAATAAAAAACATACTACAAAATGATTGTGTGAGAGGGAAGAATGACACTACAAGGTAAAATAAAAAACATACTACAAAATAACTGTGTGAGAGGGAACAGTGACATCACTGGGTTAAGAATGTGTAATAATTCTTTGGGATAACAGCTGCCACAAAATCAACAGTGAACCATGTATAACATCACATCATATATATATAAAAGAAAGACATACAATAAAAAACTTTAAAATATGGAAGAGCCTTTCATTCAAAAAAGTAATAAAGTTTTTGTTATTCTGGATCAAGGATATTATGATAATATGGTTTTAGGATAGTTGAATATCAAAGAAACTTATAAAGACGTTCTCCATAGATATTCCAATATTTCTAAATAAAGTAAATGAAATTAAGAAATATATAGAAGTATTTAAATACGTATATACTAAGAAAGAAAATTGTTATTTTTAGAGAAACCATAAACTGGGAAAATTTTATGTATTACCCAAATAAAGAAGTTAAAGAAATTTTAGAAAAAGATAAGATGGAATATCTTTGGATAAAGAGCCCTCCAAGAATTTTTGGAAGACCAATTATAAGTGGAAAAAAACTGAGCTCTATTATGGACATATCTTTAAAACCATTTACTTCTAAACTACAAAGTTACATATAATATGATATTGATTTTGTTAATCACTAACCGGTGAAAATTAAAAATATTATTTTTATATCATTAGATGTTGTTTCTCTTTATCCAAGTATCAAATATGAATATGGTATAAAAACTATTAAATATTATTTAGAAAGATACCCAGGTTTATTATGTGATAATTGAAGGTTTAAACCTTATTTTAAATAATTGCTATTTTGTTTATGAAGGCGATATACATCAACAAATCTCTGGAACATCAATGGGAACAAAAGTGGCTCCAGCTTATGCCACTTTAGTGGTGGGAGATTTTGAAATTAAAATGTTCAATAGTTTATCAAATTATTTTGAAAGTAGTTATATTAGTTACTTGAAACAAAATTGGAAAAGGTTTCTAGATTATTGTTTTCTATTATGAAACAGATCTTTTGATTTTGAAATATTTTTTGAAAATTTGAATCAAATTAACCCTAATATAAACTTTACTTCCAAAATGAGTAATTTAAGTTTATCCTTTTTAGATGTATCGATTTTAAAAAAGGAAGATGGTAGGATTGAAAGAGGTTTATATTACAAACCCACTAATTCACGCCAGTATTTAGATCTTTATAATAATCATCCTATATGTACTAAATTAAATATTCCACTTTGCCTAGCTCAAATAATTTTTTCTATTGTTTCTAGCCCCAAAAGTTCAACAACACAGACAGATAGAATTAAAATCTTACCTTAGGAAGTGTCATTATCCAGAAAGTATAATAGAGGGAGGTTTCAAGTTAGCTAAGGTTAAAAAGAAAACTAATAATAGTATATAAGATGAAATTATTCCTTTTCTAATAATGCATTACCTGCGAGTTAAAATTAATAGTAATGATATCCAACGAGAATTGGAAAGAATTTCAGATAAAACTAAAAGCTAAGTTTGAAAATAAACAAATCATATTATACATGAAGACAACCTAAAAATTTAGATGCTATCTTAACTCAGAGAAATAAAGTAAAGAAATCTGTTGAAGGTATTTTTACCTGTAATAAACCAAATTGTTATATTTGTGGTAAAAGATATATTACAAGGACAACATATATTAGAGGCCCTACTGGTGAGAAAATATTATTTATAAATTCTAGATTTAGTTGTAATTCACATAATGTTATTTATGTGTTATCTTGTATTTGTTGTAAGGAAATATATGTTGGAGAAACAAAAAAATTTGTTTGAGAATAAATTTACACAAATCTCATGTCAGAAATGCAAATAATAGCCCATTACCTAATAACAAACACGTTAATAAGTGTATTATTGAAAAATATCATAGTTTAGAAGAACCCTTTTCCAAATATTTCCATTTTGGTATTCTTGTGAAAAAAATATGAGATTATTTTATGAATAACATTACAGAGGAAGTTTTAAACATACATAAAGCTTTAAGGTAAAAAAACATGGTAAATTTTACATAGTTAAATTGGTCTTGTTCAAGAAAGCTTTATTGTAGAAACTAAAGAATATCCTGGATGATACAAAAACCAGTATTTGTATGTTTTTGTGATTTTATGTATTTCTTTTAAATTAACGGTAATAAATAGATTTTTCTAAAAAATATTTTTAAAGTCTTTTTACACTGTTTCATTTTTATATATATATAAATATACACACATAGTTATGTCTTTTATGTGCTAATGATATTTAAGGTTGTTTTTAAACCTACAATCAAAATGGGTCACCCTATATTTGTATTATACATTTGTGTTTTCTCTGCCAGTATTATACAGGTGTATTATAGATTTTAGTGTGTATTTATAGGTAGTCCTAATCCACGGAAAAACAACACTAATAAGCATTACCATTGCATTAGATCTTTTTTAAAAAAATATTAACTTAATAATCTAGACACCTTTGATTTAAAAAGCTACAATTGTATCTTAAAGAACCTCTTAAATACTAGTAAAAGTTTCTGTTGTCAGAGATGTTATTAATTAAAACAGACATTTGATAAGGAAATGATTAAATTGCTCTAGGTGAGAAATTGGAAGAACATAATTATCAACCTTATAATACTTACTGTGGATATAAAAACCATTTACAGTTTGGGGCTGCAAGTATCCTTAAACTGTTCAACATTAAAACTGAGATAAGAAGAAATGAAATTGGTGTGTTTGGAAGATATTGGTATATTAGAAATAATTAAACTATTAAAACACTATAGCATTTAAGAAGTTCACAATAATTCATTACAAAAGCACAAGGCTTATTGAACAACTCTGAATCTCACAGCAATATTTTACTACAATATCATGATGAGATTTAAGATAAAGTATCTTATAATTCAATAGTATTATCTTTCTTTTTAACTTTTAGTTTTGTATTTGTTCCAGGTATTGCAAAAGTGGTCAGCATTGAAAGTTGTTTTAAAAGGTTTTATTTGAAAATCTTTATTGCATTTACTGTGATTAAAACTTTAATTCTAATTTCTCTTTTCTTGAAACGGGAAACAATTTTTTTAAGTTCACAAAAGTAGCCTGTCAATTTAAATTTATCCATCAAACAATAAATTATAAAGTGTTTGTTAGTGGAACAGAAATAGTCAATTATGTAACAAACAATAATTGTGTTGAATAATTTTCCTGTTTGTTATATGCTAATAAATCTTTTTTTTTAAATCTTAGTTTTTAAGATGTCTTTGTAATAAAGAAAATTATTTAATAGAGAGTTATTGTGACAAGTATGGTCTAGTTTTGAAAACCCTGTTTATGTGTGTGTGTGCAACTGGAAAATTATTTTTTAAGTGCTTCGTTAATTTCATCCACAGGTTGAACGAGAGAGAGCTAAGGATGCTGCCAATGGAGTCCACATTGCTCAAGTCCTGGAGGGATTTGTTAAAAGAAAGGTAAGCACAATGTTTTATACTTGTTAAACCTTCTAGAACTGATATCATACTTTTTTGTGCCAAAGAAACAAAATGGGTTTACATCTACGTTTTTATGAGGAGCCTTGCACTATTACAAACATAGTGTGTTTCTGGGTGTATATTTATCACAGTGTAAGCATGTTCATTCTTGTGTAAACTGAAGATTATTCCATATGTATGTTTCAGAATTTTTATGATTTTACCAATATTTTTGGGTGCCATATGTCAGTCAACAGATGCAAATGTGCACCCATTTTATAAAGATTAAAACATGAATTATAATAAAATGAATACATGAAAATATCTTTTAACAAAGAATCTGACAATATATACACAGACTATAATATGTCGATTACATTTAATAAAGAATTTGGCAGTAGATATTTGAACTAATATATCAAACACATGAAAATATATTTTAATAAAGAATCTGGCAGCATGTAAATGAACTAATATATCAAATATATATGAAAACATCTTTTAACAAAAAATCTGATAATATACGTGAATTGATTACATGACAATTCCTTTTAAAAAGAATCTGGCAAAATAAACAAGAAAATACTCTTTAACTAAAACTTCAGAGCCAGAGTTACTAATAATACAAAAAATTAAGATTAAAACTTGATTTTACAGTATGTTTTATACATATATTTCTTTGAGCTGTAACACAAGATCTTGTACAAAATCAGAACAGACATCTATATATGGGTATTAAAACTTTTATTTAAAACACAAGTAGGTTTCTCATCATCAGAAAATACATCTATATATGGTATTAAAACTTTTATTTAAAACACAAGTAGGTTTCTCATCATCAGAAAATACATCTATATATGGTATTAAAACTTTTATTTAAAACACAAGTAGGTTCCTCATCATCAGAAAATACATCTATATATGGTATTAAAACTTTTATTTAAAACACAAGTAGGTCCTCATCATCAGAACATACATCTATATATGGTATTAAAACCTTTTATTTAAAACACAAGTAGGTTCCTCATCATCAGAACATACATCTATATATGGTATTAAAACCTTTTATTTAAAACACAAGTAGGTTCCTCATCATCAGAACATACATCTAGTATATGGTATTAAAACCTTTTATTTAAAGCACAAGTAGGTTCCTCATCATCAGAACATACATCTATATATGGGTATTAAAACCTTTTATTTAAAGCACAAGTAGGTTCCTCATCATTAAAATATACGTCTGTATTTGGGTATATATATATAGGTTATTAAACAGACAGTCATGACTGTAGAGTATAGATGAACTTGTTTGTACTAAGTTGTTAAATAGACAGTCATGACTGTAGAGTATAGATAAACTGCTTTGCTTCTAGGTTTTTAAATAGACAGTCATGCTGTAGTGTATGGATAAACTGTTTTGTTTCTAGGTTGTTAAACAGACAGTCATGACTGTAGTGTATGGATAAACTGTTTTGTTTCTAGGTTGTTAAACAGACAGTCATGACTGTAGTGTATGGATAAACTGTTTTGTTTCTAGGTTGTTAAACAGACAGTCATGCTGTAATGTATGGATAAACTGTTTTGTTTCTAGGTTATTAAACAGACAGTCATGCTGTAGTGTATGGATAAACTGCTTTGCTTCTAGGTTTTTAAATAGACAGTCATGACTGTAGTGTATGGATAAACTGTTTTGTTTCTAGGTTATTAAACAGACAGTCATGCTGTAGTGTATGGATAAACTGCTTTGCTTCTAGGTTTTTAAATAGACAGTCATGACTGTAGTGTATGGATAAACTGTTTTGTTTCTAGGTTGTTAAACAGACAGTCATGACTGTAGAGTATAGATAAACTGTTTTGTTTCTAGGTTGTTAAACAGACAGTCATGCTGTAATGTATGGATAAACTGTTTTGTTTCTAGGTTGTTAAACAGACAGTCATGACTGTAGTGTATGGAGTCACCCGTTATGGAGCTCGTTTACAAATTCTAAAACAACTGCGTGACATAACGAATTTTCCTCAAGACCACTGTTGGCAAGCAGCATCTTATCTAGTCAATAAAACCTTCCTAAGCTTGCAAGAAATGTTTACAGCAACCCGTCAAATTCAGGTAAATAATTAGCTTTAATTAGGTTAACTCTTACAGTATTAGAAATAATTAGAACTTTAAGAAATAGAAGAAACAGCTATATTGTTTCAAAAATATGTAATCTTTCAGAAACAACCAATAAAATCAATATAGTAATGATGTTCGTACCTGAATTATGTATTACCTACCAAGTTGACTTGATTAATCTGTAGCCAAGTAGGACACATATGCACAGAAAACATAAACATTCCAAATGTTTAACTGAAAATCATCATTTCATAGAATCATCATACTGAAATAAGAATTTCAAAGTAAGCCTAAAAGAACTGATAATAATAATAATTAGAATAATAAATCGCTTAGCACTTAAAGAAATAAATTTATTTGGTTCATTAAAGTAATGATACAGGTGAAATAACAAATACTCTTTAAATTCAACAAGAAGTTTTCATAATACTAATACAAAGTAGGACACAATTTTTATGAAATTCACACAATTTATATATGAACATAATATGTGATAACAAGGGACCATTTGGTTCTTCAAGATCACTCCTTATTTTTCATAAAATCACCAGTCCCCCTCTTAGACTTTTGTAAACTCATAGCCTTCACTACTGTTGATGGCAATTCATTCTATAAGCTAACCATCTGAAATGAAAAATAAAACTATCTGAACTAGACCCTCACCTGTCTTGCTAGCACACAGAATAACAACCTTCATCTCCAGGTTCTCATAGTTTATTTGTTATAAAAACTCTCCTGTTGATTGCTAGCACACACAACAACAACCTTCATCTCCAGGTTCTCATAGTATATTTTTACAACACACTCTCCTGTTGATTGCTAGCACACCCAACAACAACCTTCATCTCCATTTTCTCATAATTTATTTGTAATAGACTCCTGTTAATTGCTAGCATACACAACAAATTTCATCTTCAGGTTATGATAGTCTGTTTGTAATAGATCCTCTCCTGTTGATTTTTGATACCATTATTTTTAAGAATGCGATGTATTATTACTCCATCTGGCTTCAGTTTCTGTCTTAGATTTGATAGCCAATATGGAAGATTCTTAAGATGTAAAGTAGAAGCGATAACTTGTTAAACCAGTAATAAACACTTTATTTTTATCAGCTATTGTGTCAAAACAAAATTCAATGTATTCTTTTAGAGAAAGCTTTAGACATTGTTTTGATATGTTAAGTAGTTTTATATGTATGCTCCTGCCTTCTGTCTGGTTTGGTGACAATATTTCAGACTTTGTGCTGAGTCCATAATTTTCTGTGAACAGCTACTGCTTTCTGCTAAGCTTGAAACATTGTCACCAAACTAGAGAGAAGGCAGGAATAGTTTATAGAAAACTATGGACTCAATTTTTCAGGTTCTGCGTTAAGTCCATAGTTTTCTATGAATTACTCCTGCCTTCTCTCTAGTTTGGTGACAATGTTTCAGGTTCTGCATTGTCACCAAACTAGAGAGAAGGCAGGAGTAGTTCATAGAAAACTATGGACTCAACACAGAACCTGAAACATTGTCACCAAACTAGAGAGAAGGCAGGAGTAGTTCATAGAAAACTATGGACTCAACACAGAACCTGAAAAATTGTCACCAAACTAGAGAGAAGGCTATCTTGTACAAAGTACACAACTCCTCTTTGCATGATTTCTGTAATCTATCTAGTATACAAGGATGGCAGTTTTTCCCAGTACTCATTTCAATAGCCTGATTTCAAAGAAATTCATAGACACTGCCTCTGGCAATTTGACTGGTATGTCTTCATATAGAATAGCATAAATACCTGTTTCATTCGTCAGCTTATGGAAGTATGTGTTAGTTGAAGGGGAAATATTACTGGAAGCCTTATCTTGGTGAACCCCTACATTATTGACTTTATTTTCAGATGAAAATTCTTTTGGATTATGTTGCCTGAAATATATGGGCAGTTGTAACCATGGCCTCTTTACTTGTGGTTTCTCACCTGTTACAAGATACCACACTTTGATGAGTACACGGGAATTGGTGGCAACTGCCTGTTTTAGAAAAAACACAGTGTAAAGGATGATGTTTCAAAAGTCTTCCATCTTTTATTTTCTGAAGAAACTTTGCTTAACATAAAAACACAGTCATTTTAAACAAAGAACCCAACATAGACAAATGAAAAATCAAGCAATCCAACTTAATAGAACAAAACAACCCTACTCTAAA